TTTTTCTTCCTATAGCTCTTCTTTAAAGTAAAATAAAAATGATGTTGAAATCACTATTTATAAATGATCACCGGTTATCCTCACAAATGAAGGAGTTTAAGGGCCCATTCCCACCATAGCAGTGCCTTTATCGCACCATACTGTGCATTTAAGGCATGCTACTGCACAACACACCTAGTGTGATGTACTATCAGTGTTGCATTGCCATTCATTTGTATGGCACTCCAATGCACCTCCTGGTGGGCATGTGCTTCAGCACAGCGCAATGCACAGTGCTGCAATACGAAGAGCAACTCCACATTTGCCATTTTGTAGGTCTGTGTTTGTCCTGCGCATGTTCAAATTAACTTCCTGTTGACTGACTCATTACCTTTGCTGGAAGTCTGTTCTAAGCATCAACTACCCTTTCTTTTTCCAGCTGAACTCCGGCTATAATGATTTATATATACCTACACTGGTATGGCCGGTGTGCCGAGTGAGTGCTTCAGACCTTCAGAGAACATCTAGTATCTTTATCAATGTATAAAACGTGTTCTCTGATTGGACAAGGGGAGGCACCATTATGTCACTGTTCGGCACACTGGCCCTTCAGAGAACATCTAGGATTTTCATCAATGGATAAAAGGTGTTTTCAGATTGGGCGCAGGGCGGTGCCATGATGTTACTTCTCTCAGCACACTGGGCCTTTAGAGAATGTTTAATATTTTTTTCAATGGATAAAAAGGTGTTCCCTGATTGGATGAGGGGTGGCGCCATGAGGTCACTGCTCAGCACAGTGCCAGTACTAGGACCCAGAAAAGTGCTGTAAAAGCATTATAGTAGCTCCGGCTACTATAGTCTATTACAGGATGTCTTTGGCCCCACCAGGTATAAAAAAAAAATGTATACTTGAATCGTGCCAAGCTGGATGAATGTAAGTATTAGTGATGCACCGATACTGAGTATTGGGGCATATTTTTGATTATGACGTGTTCCGTGAAATGCCAAAGTGCGTGTATGAGGCGTGTTTGGCATGCACTCATGTTATACAAAAGGTGTAAATGGGGACTCAGTCCCTGCAGTCTCTCCTGATATGTTTTATCCCGTGGACTTTAACTCTCTTTGTTGCCCGTCCCTGGACACAATCTATCTTATCAACATCTTTTTGTGTCATAAGTCAGTATCGCTTCTAATAAACTTATGATGAAACCCGACTATCCCGGCCTCACACATACCACACCCGAGTTAGGTTACAGGACAGGAGCATTGATGTCACCGAGCAGAAGGTGACGCAGAATTGTAAACTAGACAAATAAACTTTTAATACGTCCACCAGCAGTTCTGAGCCGTGCTTAGGGAAACCCAATAAGGGACTGACTACAACTTTCCACGACACACAATGGCCACGGGTCAAATTTGTTTCTGAAGTGTTGTCAAGTTGGCTTTATGTATTAGCCAGGTACCTGGACAACGCCTCAGAATATTCTTTAAAGGAGAACTATGAGGTGAGTGATTTCCACTCACCTCATAGTTCTAGCCGACCTGTGACAATGAGACTGTCACAGGTCGGCTCAGTAGATCGGGAGGTGAGCGAACACATACCAGGTTCGCTCACCTCTCGATCCTGTCACGGCTCTCTGCCGTGACAGGGGGAGGGGCTGGATTCCCCTCTCCGATCTGCCAGCGCTGACTGGCGGAACGGACGGGGGAGGGTACAGCTGGCTCTGCCTCACTCACGCAGCTGGGCGGATCCCGTCATCTACGTCGGGATCCGCTCCGATGTCTCAGTATACCGCAAGCTGTAGCTCGCGGTACACTGAGCTTTGGGTGACGGGAGGACGCTAGTTTGTGTCCTCCCGTTACCCTAAGAAGAACTATGGGGAAAAACACTGACCCCATAGTTCTCCTTTAAAGTATATCTAAAGCCAAAACTTTGTTCAATTCTTAGATAGAGTAGGGGAGCATTAGGACCGCTCTCAGTTTTTTGGCCATCTTTGTTTTATTAGGGAGATTTCCCCTCACTTCCTGTCCTATAGCCTCAACAGGAAGTGAAATGATATGCGAGGAAAGACCCTAACAGGAAGAAGTGCCCCCATTGGAATATTTCCCCTCTATTCCTGCTCTGGTTAAAATTTTGGATTTACCCCTCACTTT